TATGTTCACTGAGACACTATTCACAATAGCAAAGACTTGGAATCAACCCAAATGTCCATCAATGATAGACTGGATTAAGAAACTGTGACACATATACACCATGGAATACTATGCAGCCATAAAAAAGGATGAGTTCATGTCCTTTGTAGGGACATGGACAAAGCTGGAAACCATCACTCTCAGCAAACTATCACAAGGATAGAAAACCAAACACCGCATGTTCTCACCCACAGGTGGGAACTGAACAATGAGATCAGTTGGACACAGAGTGGGGAACATCACACAACGGGGCCTGTTGGGGGTTTGGGGGCTGGGGTAGGGATAGCACTACGAGAAATACCTAATGCAAATGATGAGTTAATGGGTGCAGCAAACCAACATGGCACATGTATATGTATGTATCAAACCTGCACGTTGTGCACCTGTACCCTAGAACTTAAAAGTACAATACCAAAAAAAATTAAATAAATATATACACCTACAATGTGCCCACAAAAATAAAAAATAAAATAAAAATGATAGACAAAGCAACAGAAATAAACAGCTGTGAAGCAGAGAGCTTAATATTTAATAAAGGAAGCATCAAATCAATGGCAAAGGTATAGTTTATTCAACAAATTATTAAAATAGACTGTTTTTCAACATCCAAACTAGTTCCAGTTATCATTCCACAAATCAGAATATATTTCAAAATGAATACAGAATTAAATGTAAAATAATTACCACCTCAATCAAATAAAGATCTAGAAGGAAAGGCTGGGCGCAATGGCGCATGCCTGTAATCCCAGCACTTTGGGAGACTGAGGCAGGCAAATCACCTGAGGCTAGGAGTACAAGACTAACCTAGCCAACATGGCAAAACGCTGTCTCTTACACTAAAAGTACAAAATTAGCCAGGTGTGATGTGTGGTCAGAAGGCTGAGGCACATGAATCACTTGAACCTGGGAGGTGGAGACTGCAGTCAGCTGAGGTTGTGCCATTGCACTCCCACCTAGGCAACAGAAGACTCCGTCTCAAACAAAACAAAACAAAACAAAACAAAACAAACAAATAAACAAAAACAACTAGAAAGAAATAAGGAAATGTACTAGAATATTTAACTGATTTCAAGACAAAACGTTTAAGCACAACAAATAATTCAAGAAATCCAAAGAAAGAAATTGAGAGAAATGATACATAAAATGAAAAAATATGTGTGTTAAATGATCTGAAGTTGAAAACTGAAAACTAAACAACCAGGAAAGCTCCCACAAATAGCACAAAAGTTAATCTCTCTCTCTCTCTCTCTCTCTCACACACACACACACACACACACACACACGGAGAGTTCTTACAATTAAGAAAAATTCTTAAATTGAAAACTAGAAAAAGAACACCAACAGATAATTTGAAAACAGATGAAAATTTCATACAAATATATGGAAAATATTAACATCACTAGCAAAAAAGAAAAAAAAATTAAAGCGGTACCATGATCTGCTTCTCAAGCTATAAAGGTTAAAAAAGGGTGATTAGTATCCGGTGCTGGCCAGGTTGAAGTTATACAGGTGCTGTTATAAAATGTTGGTGAAATTACAAATTATTACTTAATAGAAGCAATTTCACAATAAACATGGCATGAACTATCCTGATACGATTGACCTCAATAATTCTATTGCTAGGACTCTATCATGTGGCAAGAAATTAAAAACAACTTAAATGTCCAACAATCATAAAACTTGGCATCATAAAAGATTATTTTTAGGCTGGGCGCAGTGGCTCACACCTGTAATCCCAGCACTTTGGGAGGCCAAGGCGGGTGGATCACGAGGTCAGGCGATCAAGACCATCCTGGCTAACATGGTGAAACCCCATTTCTACTAAAAATACAAAAACAAAATTAGCTGGGCGTGGTGGTGGGCGTGCGCCTATAGTCCCAGCTACTCAGGAGGCTGAGACGGGAGACTGGTGTGAACCCGGGAGGCGGAGGTTGCAGTGAGCCGAGATCGCTCCACTGCACTTCAGCCTGAGCGACAGAGCAACACTGTGTCTCAAAAAAAAAAAAAAAAAAAGATTATTTTTGAAGGATATCTAAATGACTGAGGAAATGCTCACAATATAATACAACACAAAAAAACAAACAAACAAAAAACTTGGTAATATCCCTATGATTCCAGTTCTGTAAAAAAAAAAAGTAGTACAGTGTTATATAGATTATATTTTTGTTTTATATTTTCCGTAATATCCAAATAATTATTCTAAGATCATTTTGAGAAAAGCTAAAAACAACAACCAAAACCAGTTAGAAATTACAGGAAGTGAGTAAAGATTATATTTCTCTATACATTTGGCAGTAAAAGGAATGAGAGATCTGGATAGGACTATAGCTGGAAAGTAGAGTAACTGAGGAAAGTTTTGTTTTATGCTTTGTTTTGTTTAAAGGCAGATAACAAACATGTTTATTAAGAGGAACAAGAAGAAATATAACATAAAGAGGAGATAACTTTTTGAAGACGATCCTAAAGCAGGCAGAGATGGCAGAAAGCAGAAATACAAATAGATTTTTAAAAAAGGCTTTTCTCAAACTGAAGGTGAGCAAGAAAAGATGGCTCAATACAGAAATTTTAAAGAAGAGAGGAGGAAGATAAAGAACTGTTTGATGTGGAAATGGTCTGAATCATCTTATATTCACTATGCATTCCTATGGGTAGCTTTTTTCAAACCTGCTTCCCAATCTGTCAGAATCACTGGATTTAATTAATGAGAGATGTGACTAAGGTTTGTCTAAATATGGGAAAAACCAAAGGACATTTTACAGGTCCCATTAGTTTTCTGTGGTTCAAAAGATGATTATGAAATGCATAAAAAAGGCATAAACAAGCCGGGCGCGAAGGCTCATGCCTGTAATCCCAGCACTTTGGGAGGCTGAGGCGGGCAGATCACGAGGTCAGGAGATCGAGACCATTCTAGCTAACACGGTGAAACCCCGTCTCCACTAAAAAATACAAAAAAAAAAAATTAGCCGGACACGGTAGCGGGTGCCTGTAGTCCCAGCTACTCCGGAGGCTGAGCCGAGATCACGCCACTGCACTCTGGTCTGGGCGGCAGTGCGAAACTTTGTCTCAAAAAAAAAAAAAAAAAAAGAGGCATAAACAATTCAAAGATACCTAACATTCTATGCAGTCCTAAATTTTTCTTAAAAAATTATTGCTCAGAAAGTTACAAATCAATAACATAGTATTATACACTATTTAAAATATTATTCACAGTATTATTCTAAACAGAGAAATACCTGAGAGTTGCTAGTTATGTGAAGATTTTCCAACAACTTACCACTGCCTTGAATCCAAGTTCCTAAGTTCTCTAAGTAGCTTTTCATTTTTCTTCAGGAGATGAAAGCTCCTCCTAAATAGAGAGATTTATAAACATTTTCATCACCTTTGCAGTGAATGACATGACAGTCCCGGAAATACTTTCCACTCTACTCATGCAACTTTTATACTTTTCTTGCCTTTTCATACTTCTAACACAAAGGAGAACAGACCCTAAAAAAAACGTAAAGAATATATGTCATTATTTCCACCAGGCCTTCATACATTTCTGCTAGTGGATCATATCAATTGGCCACTTCAATCTTTCCTTGCAGATGCTGTGAGCCTCCTAAACTCATATCTAGGAAAATGGATAAAAGTACTTTATAGGTTCTTTTCAAGAGTCTCATAAAAATGTGAGAAAGTTGTACCTCATGAGAAATAAAATATTCACAGAATCTAAATCATTACCAAGTAAGCAAGTGTAATCCAGATGGAATTTTCTTTCTTCCTTGTTTTATAATTTTTAGACTACAAAGCAGTGAATAATTTTACCAAATCCCTTCCGTGGGTGCTAAATATGTACAAATTATTTTCATAAAATCAATGCTTGCTGAAGTAAAATACAGCTTCTCATCTTTAATTTTTCCCAAGGGACAACATATGGACCATTCTACAGCAAAACAGAGTAGAATGAATTTATACGATAACTGAGTGGCAATTACCTATATTTGGTCATACCATATGGCACACTGTTCCTGAGATATAACGTTTCCTATAAGGCAGAGGATATTCTTCTCTTCTAATAAATGGCTTCCCTATATTCCTTACTCCCTTCTAATAAGAGGCTTTCCTATAAGGCAGAGGATATTCCCTTCTAATAAGTGGAAGAGTTTAAATCAAGTAAGAGTATAAATACTAAGTAAACAAGCAGAACTCTATTTCAATGCTTGATATGCATTTGAATTACTTTAAGATTTATTCGTTCATTGATATCTGAGCTTCCCCTCCTACCATAAATTGACGGAGACAATACATTACCACTCCTCCCACTACCTACAGGGTTGTGTGACATAGGAATTAAAACCTAAATGTATGTTAATAATGCTCTACATTAGTGTACAATGCCAGTGTTTTATGTACATTATCTAATTTAATTATTCCCAGTATGTGAGGTGGGAACTACTCTCAATTTGTAGACTGCAGCCTGAGGCTCAAAAGTTAAGTAACTTTAAGCTAGGTCTTCTGATTTAAGCCTATTGTTCTTTTCATTTAGCTCCTACCTAACTTACTTGAATACCTCATGAGTTTATTGTAAGTTTTTAATAAGGTTTTGTAACATGCATCAGAAAAAAAAATTTTTTTTAACTTCAGATTCTTTTTTTGATTTGATCTTGAATCTTGAGTTAATTTCCCTGATTCAAACTGGAAATAATCATATTGCGGTTTCTAAAAAAAAATTATTAGGCTTACAGGAAGGTTGAAAAATGAGCCATAATTTCTAAGTCAAATAGTTCTAGTAGTCATTTTGAAAATATTGATAATTTGCTGGATTATTTTATTCCTCTGAATCCCAATACAACTCAGTGGCCTCAAAAAAAAAAAAAACTGCAAAAAAATGAGTCAAAGAACTAATTGGTAGATACAATTTAGTGAGGAAAAGAACAGAAAATAAAATGCTTCATCAGAAGATGAATAAGACCGAAAAAAAAAAAAAAAAGAAAAAATTTCTCCCTTATGCTTACCGTTTGTCCCAGGAATTCATTCCCAATATACTAAGAAGCAATCTGCAATAATAAAATGCTGACTGAGGTTTCTGAGGTATTGGTTCATCTTGTTCCACAGCTTTCATGTTTAAGTCATTAAAGTGCTTCTCAACAAATTCTTTTTCTTCTGTATGTTGCTTAAGGATAGCATTAATAACATCATTTTCTTGTTTTTCAGAAATGCACACAGGTTGTGGAGCAGGAATATTAAGTGAGATTCCAGTTCTCTGTAAGCATTCAGGACTAGTAACACCCAAATACTGCAAGAGCTCATCAAGAACATCTTCTTCATCTCTTATTGTATCCCAAGTTGGTACAGTTTCTCTAAATCTTTTAAACTGGAGAGAAAGTCCATCTTTTACTGTTGTATCTTCTAAGCATTCATTAGATGTTGGAGGCTCTTCTGGATTCTCTTGGTGAGACAACGAAAGCATCAAAGATGTAGGTTCTGACAAGCCACTTACAGGAGGTGGGCCATACAGTATAGCAGAATCCCATGAATATTTTCCAGAGAGATCACGTACTATGATTCTGACATTTGAATTGGCTGATGCAAGGCCAGCAGATAAACCTCCTCCAGGCATATTCTCTTCTGATCTGATCTGGATACAGGACACTAAGGTTGTATTATTTAACACAAAGAACTGGATATTTGGACTCTCAAAGAGTTCAGGAGAAAGTTCAGTACTTTCACTGTAATGGTTGTCGTGATTTTCACACACCTGACTTGTTAGCATAGCAGGACCACCACTCATTGGATAATGGCCCAGGTGATTTACCAGATGTGTAATAACAGTGCGGGCTGCTATAGAGATTAATCCATGCTGCATTTGAGTTTTCACTGGAAATAAAAAATATAAATGAATGGGAATATTGCTGCTTCCTAGGGAATCATATGACAATGAAACATTAGACAACAAACAGGAATTTTATCACATTGTTAATATTTCCAATTTAGATTCCGTATCACAGTAATGATGGTAAAAAAAGGAGGAAAACCATTCTTTGATGAAGTTTTGTTTATAAGGAAGCCCTTTCTGAAATTTTTGCTAATGGGTCCATAATTTAAACCAAGGCCCTTATATATGGATCACTTTTGAAGAATCAGAAGTATTATAAACCAATCATGAAATCCCTAATGCACATTAAAAAGCCAAAGACGGCCAGGCGCTGTAACACATGTCTGTAATCTCAGCACTTTGGGAGGCTGAGGTGGGAGGATTGCTTGAGCCTAGGAGCTTGAGACCAGCCTGGGCAACATAGGGAGACTATGTCTCTATAAATAAAAATAATAATAGTAATACTAAAATTAGCCCAGCGTGGTGGCCGCTGCACTCCAGCCCAGGTGTCAAAGCAAGACCATGTCTCCAACAACAACAAAACAAAACAAAAACAAAAACAAAAACACAATGAAATCTGTTCAACTGATAAGTTTCTTATCTCCATTAATAGATTCCAGATTCAGAGACAGTTTGTAGATGCCTTAAATGTCATTTAAATCTGACTTTCACAGATAATGTAAAAATGTTTCAGAAAAGGTGACATTCCAAGTAAACTCTGGGAATCAGAATAAATTTAAACAGCAAGTCAGTATAGCCAGTACCTGTATGCACAAGAGATTTTATTTTAAAAACAAAAATATTTGCTGGACCTACTTATATTTTTCTAAGGTATTCTTCAGGGTCAATGTGGTATAGTCTAGCAGTCAGTTATATGCAAGAAATATTTTTTTTCCTCAAGTACAATAGGGAGGAAAGAGGTAAGAAGCATATTCATACAAATAACTAAAAAATCATAGGAAACAGTCGAAAGAGAAAACTCAAAGAATATTAGTAGTTTAAGAGGCTTGGAAAGGCAAGATGCCCAATGTCAGAATCTGAAGAAAGAGGAAAAGGGAGGGGAGGGGGAGAAGGAAGACAGGGAACACAGAGAGAGTAATGGGGGAAAGGAGAAAGGGGATAGACAATAATTTGTCAAAGCCAACTAGTTAAAGACTGCCAATCTAAGGAGGGCTAAAGACTGTGATTCTGAGGGGTGTTGATGTGGAAGCCAGTTTGGGATTGAGTGGTGTCAGGAAGTGGGGACAACTAGTTGACTGTTGCCTTAATGTGTGTTTCATCTAACAGGTAGGAGGAGAGTTGTCTTTGGTAAAGAAGCATTAGTCATTCATGTTAGGATGTTTAGGTAGGGGTGTGTGTGTGTGTGTGTGTGTTTAAAACATTCTTGTCTCTACTTAATTTTAGACGTAATTACAGAGTGATTGTGTCTCTGTATTATTCTACCACAGTAACAGAGTGATCTTGTCTGAGTATTTATATTCTCTGACAGTTAATCAGTTGGGAACACTAGGGCCTGTCAGAACAAATAAGGATTTGTCACAATAAACACAGATTTTTAAAATTTTTTATTTTTTTATTTTTCAGATGGAATCTCACTCTGCCTCCCAGGCTGGAGTGCAGTGGCGTGATCTTGGCTCACTACAATCTCCGCCTCCCGGGTTCAAGTGATTCTCCTGCTCAGCCTGCCGAGCAGCCTGGGACTACAGGCGCAAGCTGCCACACCCAGCTAATTTTTGTATTTTTAGTAGAGGCAGGGTTTCACCATATTGGCCAGCCTGGTCTTGAACTCTTGACCTCGTGATCCCCCACCTCGGCCTCCCAAAATGCTGGGATTACAGGTGTGAGCCACTGAGCCGGGCCAGATACAGATTTAAGAAAGTTCTGATTTACATACATGCCCAATTTTATGTGTTTAGTTTGATGACTTTTGGTAATTGTATATAATTGTGTTACCACCAACATAATCGATATGAAAAATTCCCTCACCAAAAAAGAATTTTTATTTTATGTAAACTATACCTCAATAAAGAAAAAAATTCCCTCATCAAAAAAGAATATTTTATTTTATGTAAAGTATACCTCAATAAACCTAACTCAAAAAAAAAAGGGAGACCAGTTTGTGCATTGATGGTATAATCATTTTAAAAGAGGCAAGAGAAAAGAATAGTCTTACATTTTCAAGGCTTTAGCCTTCAAGATTCAGAACCAATACCACAGGGTATAGGCAAACCAACCAACCAGCTCCTATGCCATTAATGTTAATACCATCTTCCCCAATTCCAAAAAAGAATAGTTTCCTTTGGGCTTTGGTTGCTTTTAAAATGTCAGAGTATCAAAATTTTAATTTCCCATTATCAACCAAGTTATATCTACATACATGTAAATATAAACATTTCTTAGTTTATTTATTGGTTTTTGTTTGACACAGAGTCTTGCTGTGTCACCCAGGCTGGAGTGCAGTGGCACGATCTCAGTTCACTGCAGCCTCTGCCTCCTGAGTTCAAGCAATTCTCATGCCTCAGCTTCCCAAATAGCTGGTATTACAAGCATGTGCCACCACGTCTGGATAATTTTTGTATTAGAGAAGAGGCTTCACCATGTTGGCCAGGCTGGTCTTGAACTCTTGACCCCAAGTGATCCACTAGCCAGGGCCTCCCAAAGTGCTGGGATTACAGATGTGAGCGACGCACCCGGCCAAACATTTCTTAGTTTAAAAGTTCCAATTAATGGCTGGGTATGGTGGCTCACACCTGTAATCCTAGCACTTTGGGAGGCCGAGGCGGGCCAATCACCTGAGGTCAGTAGTTTTGAGACCAGCCTGGCCAACAAGGTGATACCGTGTCTCTACCAAAAAATACAAAAATTAGCTGGGTGTGGTGGTGCCCACCTGTAGTCCCTGCTACTCGGGAGGCTGAGGCAGGAGAATCACTTGAACCTGGCAGGCGGAGGTTGCAGTGAACTGAGATCACGCCATTGCACTCCAGCCTACCCATAAGAGTGAGGCTCTGTCTTAAAAAAATAAAAAATAAAATAAATAAATAAAAGTTCCAATTATATTGAAAGTTTTAAAAATTGTTTTTATGATTGTTACTAATAACCAGCCATTCAACACTAGATTAATAACACTAAATGATTAACACTAATTCAATCCTTTGTTTTTAAGAATGTAAGCAAAGTAAAAAGTATTTTGAGCTATATGATAAGAAACAGCTTGAATCTAGTGTTTGCTTTCCCTTCCCTAATTGTAACCTAGAATATAAAAAAAGTTCACACTATAAGGAGATAATTTAGCTGGTAGTCCTCATTTTGCACATGAGGACAAATGGGTTTGCAAAGTTAAGTGATTTGCCTACCATAGGAGATGTCTTTTGCTTCCCAGCTCAGTGTTATTTCCCTCTTTACCACAGGTCTAATTTGCATACTTTTTTTTCTCTTTTGTTAAACTGTCTTTTTCTTTGTGAGATATGGAAACAATGAATTCAAAATTTATTTTTCTCTGTGTATAAGAACTTCAAAAAAGTATTACTTAGCATAAATTACTAAATAAAAAGCAAAGATCAATGGAAAAAAATCAAAACTAAATCGAATTTTAAATGGTAACAAAAATTACAACTAGTCATTTTTAAATTTTTAATATAGAAAAAGATTTTTCTATTCTTCACTCTCCCTTCTGAGTGATATACTTAAATAGATGACTCATTTTAAGCATTAAATCCTCTTTGCATAACATAGAAGTTTACATTCTGAAGAAGGGAAAGAATATAATTTAAAAGAAACAACCATAGAAAAGAGAAGAATCCCTGGCTTTGGCTTGCTCTGTGATTCATGATCACAAATACATAAGATTCCTTAAACTCCATTTTTCTGTAAGAATTGCATACTTATTTGTAAAGATGAGTTAAAAACTCTTACATACAAAACTGGAAATAACAAAAACAATAAAAAATCATTCAATTTAAAGATCATTATAAGTAACATAGGTCTTATGAGTTTCTTTTTCAAACCTACTTATAAATAAACTCCAAGAATGAGCCAGGTCTTTCCCTAAAACATAAACCTCCAAGCCCAAGTACCAGTCCATCCCATATATCTTCTTCCCAAAGGTAGAGACAGTGAGTATGCAGTTTAAATGAGCTTTTTCACAAGTCTGTCATAATTACCCACATTGAAAACATGAAAAGAATAAATTTAAATCTCAGATATAGGTAAAGCATTTTCTGCCCTAAGTTGCTTCTCTAAATTCAGGATATATGTCTATATATAAATGTATAAAAAACTCTCAAATTGTTAACTGGGCACTAAATTTATTTATACTTATTTTTGAGCTATAAACTATACAACATACATATCTCTTTTCTACTTATCTACTAAGATATAAAGAAGACATGAATTTATCTAGTTTAGATATTTAAAATAAAATTCTAAAATAACCAGTCTTGTGAGAAAATGTAAAATGGAGATATCGATGCTTCTAAGGCTTTGTGTAAGTCTATTCAGGGTTGTCTTTTCAGATTGTCAGATTAAACAAACCCTACAGCATTTGCAGCAAACCCATAATTACAGGTTATTATGGCATACAAAAGCAGCAAGACATAAAAAGCTGCTGCAATTCACTGCACTGTAATAGAACACGCAGAGGAAGTTAATTTTGGCAAATGCTTTAAATATTAGCTTTGCATAATAAGTATAGGTGAAACTATAATTAGGACAGAATGAATCCTTTGGAGCCTCCTTTCACTCTGACCCGGCAAATGATGACTTTTTGCTAATAAGACTACTGCCATTTGACAAAAAGCCAACTTCACTACCTTGCTTTATTCTTTAGTAAATTTAATAATTACAGATACTCCTGCCAATAGTTCTCAAATCAGACTTGTTCAATCCAATACTGAGCTTATTAGCGACACTCAATGTTTAGAATTCTTTGGCCAAAAAAGTACTTGAAGATGATGAAACATGCCTTAGACAAGGGCACAATGATCACTCATTTTTGCCACATTAAAAAACACCCAGAGCATGTAGTCACTACAGACCAGAGAATTATGTGCTGTTAGCTCACAGCTGTTCCTAAAAGGTTCTGCACTTATCTGGTCCGTAAAACCTTTGAGGAAGTCCAAAGGGAACAACTTGATACATTTAGAGAAGGGCACTGCACAGAGTATTTGATATCAATATTAAGCTAATCTATTCACATATTTTCCTTTGTTTCTTTTACAGTGACTGTTTGATATTGGTATGGTAAGTTTTGCACAAAATCTAAAATTAAAACTTCCTTTGACCTAAGCAAACTCTATTGCTTTGTTCAAGAAACATACTCTGCTGTCTTGAATAAAAACTGCCATTTTATACCTTAAATGTGCAGAGGTCAACTAGTATTTTCACATAACCATATTTTAAAGTAAAATAAACACGGTATCTTATTATGTTAAATCTAAAAATATAATTTTAAATTGCTTATATCAACTTTGTCTATTTTTTTTTTTTTTTTGCTTTATACTACTTGTTATACCTCTTTTATATTTGAGAAACAATTTAAATCTTAAATTCCTATTTCATAGGGTATTTATGTTCCAGACAAACTATCTGTACCTTATGGTCAAACCAAAACCCTAGCTCAACTTTCTTGGCCTCTAAGTTCATACTTTCACTTTCATTGTATGCCATCAATCCATTATCATGGACACATCTTAGATGTTTTATTCATTTGTATCTATTCTACCTTTAAAAATCAAACTTTTCCTTACTAGTCCACTCTTTGACCACAACCTCCTAGTGTAGTGACTTCCCAATTGTGTTTTGTAAAGTTCTTGGGGAAGGCCCTTAGAGATGGACAGGAAAGAAACTGGTAGTACCCCACGCCTCCACTCTGCTGTGGTTCTATTTTTTAAAGTTTTCCAAACTGAGCTTCCTTATAAAATTTATTTGAAGAGGTTCTGCTGCCTAAAAAAAGTTTTAAAAATAACTGTCCTAATATACCAACAATGCTCTCAGTGGTTCTCAACTGTGGCTGCATATTAGTCACATGCAGAGCTTTAAACAATCTCAGCAAATCCCAGATTAATATATCAAAATCTCTATGGATGGGACTGGAACATCAGTATTCTAATATGCAGCCAAGGCTGACAACTACTGCTCTAACTTCTTATTACCAACCATATCTACTTTATGACTCTCTAGATCACTCTATTTTCTCCCAACTTAAAGCTAACCACTTCCTGGCAGCAGTTTGATCCTTATCAAGCCTAGGTTCCATGGCTAAGCTGTATACCAATATTCTCAAATCCACAGCTCCTCTGTATTTCTCTGCCACACCCATCTTACTAATTGTTGATAGGTGCAACCAAAACTTTGTGAGTTTTGTTTTCTCTTAGGCCCTCAGTAACTTCTGTCAATTATCTTAATTACTTAAATCTTCTTCTTCTTTCTGGTCTGGGAAGAAGGGCTAATCCTAGCACCTATACTTTCTAGCTCATCCCCTCACGGACTTCACTCTATTAATGATACCCGTCCCACTTACTTTCTTCTCAGCTTATAAATAAGTTCAACTCTCTTCATCCCTAAAACTTTTAACCCTAAATCATCCTTTAGCTTATCAACCGTTTTATTGCATTTTTGTTTCCTTTATTTACTTATTTTTAAAGTCAAGCTTCTTTAAAGAATACTTTCCATGGATGACTCCACTGTCTTTATTTATTTATTTATTTTTAAAGCCGGAGTTTCACTCTTGTTGCCCAGGCTGGAGTGCAATGGTGCGACCTCGGCTCACGGCAACCTCCGCCTCCCAGTTCAAGTGATTCTCCTGCCTCAGCCTCCTGAGTAGCTGGGATTACAGGCATGGGCCACCACGCCCTGCTAATTTTGTGTTTTTAGTAGAGATGGGGTTTCACCATGCTGGTCAGGTTGGTCTGGAACTCCCGAACTCGCGTGATTCACCTGCCTCAGCCTCCCAAAGTGCTGGGATTACAGGCGTGAGCCACTGCAGCCAGCCAACTCCACTGTCTTATTTCCTGCTTGCTCCTCAAACCACAGCCATCCGACTCTGCCTACTTCTCTGGTGAACTAAAGCTGATACATTTGTCATTACCTTTGTACTTGGTCTATCATTTAACACTGTTGGCTAACCTTTTAAAAGCTTTCTCGGCCGGACGTGGTGGCTAACGCCTGTAATCCCAACATTGTGGGAGGCTGAGGCAGGCGAATCACGAGGTCAGGAGTTCGAGACCAGCCTGGCCAATATGGTGAAACCTGGTCTCTACCAAAAATACAAAAAATTAGTTGGGCGCAGGGGCGCATGCCTGTAGTCCCAGCTACTTGGGAGGCTGAGGCAGGAGAATCACTTGAACTCAGGAAGCAGAAGTTGCAGGGAGATGAGATGGCGCCACTGCATTCCAGCCTGGGTGACAGAGTGAGATTCCATCTCAAAAACAAAACAAAACAAAACAAAACAAAAAACAAACAACCAAAAAAACTTCTCTTGGTTTCTGAGAAATTACTCTCTCCTGATTTTCCTTCCTTTCCAATGTTTTCTTCTCAGAACCCACACATGTAAATATATATTCCTAACAAAGATCTCTCTAAGATCTAGATTTGTATATACAACTAACTGTCCATTAGATGTTTTCACATGAATATCTAGTAGGTCCCCCACACTAAACCATTTCCAACTGTCCTACTAATTTTCCCTCCCAAATCTGTACTTTCTCTAATATTCTTACTCTAGTAAGATTATTCTAGTTTGGGGAAAATCTAACCAATCTCCAAGTCAGAAACCTATTTTAGATTCCTCTTCTCTTTACAAAAGCCTTCTGACTTTACGTCCTACATACGTCTCAAGTTCACCTTGTCCTTCCATTCCTACTATCATTCTTCAGTAACTCAACAAAAAATTTAGTTTAAGCCTTCAGCAACTGTTGCTTAACCTATTGCAACAGCCTCAGAATTGGTCTCTCTGCTTCTGAGTTAACTGGCCAAATCAATCTAATACACTAGGAGTCAGTAAACTTTTTCTATAAAGGGCCAGATAATAAATATTTTTGGTTTTGTGAGCCACACAATCTCTGTTACTCAATACTGCTGTTGTTATACAAAAGTAGCCATAATGACAATATGGATGTATAACAATAAAACTATAAAAACAGGCGGTAGGCCTGGGCCATAATTTACCAACTCCTATAAAATACTATGATCAAAAGTGCTCTTAATATAAATTATATCATGTATCTCCCCTTCTTAAAACCTTCAGCAATTGCTGGGTTCCTCTAGTTTACCTCTATATCTTATATATACTTCTAGTGTTATACTCATATTATAATGTTATTTGCTTCTATTGTATCTTTCTCTTCTATCAGAGAGAGAATGCTCTAAATGTAGAAACAACGTGGCTTAAAAATGTTACTGAGTTAACTATGTACTAAGTAAGGATTGTGCAAAGGGCTTTACATATATTATCTTACTTAGTACTTAAAAAAAACCTTAGAGGAAACTAGTGTTATCTGCATTTACAAATAAGAAAACAGATACTCAGCAATTGAGAGTCAAAATTCAGGTCAGACTCCAAAGCTAAATTTTTTATTCTATATAAATTCCATTATATACAAAATATCAAAAAGAACTTCTGAGAATAATTTAGCCAGAAGTACATGTTGAGTATCCCTAATCTGAAAATCTGAAATCCAAAAATTTTGAGTGTTGACATGATGCTCAAAGGAAATGCTCATTGGAGCATTACAGATTTTGGATTTTCAGATTAGGGATGCTCAACTGATAAGTATAATGCAAATATTCCAAAAGGTTAAAAAATCCAAAATCTTTAACACTTCTGGTCCCATGCATTTCAGATAAGGAATACTGAATTTGCATAAAAGGAATGTCAACATATAATATTAGTAATTGTGCATGTGAAGTTATTTCTTTAATTAATAATGAACTTGTGCTATACATACATGGTTAAACAACTACAAAGTAAGACTACTCTCCTTCTCCAACATTTCCACCCATGGCCTCAAGTTATATACCTTGAGAGAGAGAACCCAAGCAACAATATTGTCCTGAAGAGAATTCATGTTACCTTCTGTTACTGGCTGGAGTTTAGAAGATCGTTCTGAGTCAGGAGAGTGCAGAGGTTCAGGCTCTTTCAGACTTTCCAAATGCATAAAAGGATCATAATCTACAGATGCCAAATCAGAGAGGCTCATGGGAAAATACCTTGGATTGCTAAAACACTGAGCTCCATAAACACACCCATGTAAAACCTGAAAATACAGGGGAAAAGAAAACACCCAGTTTTACTTTAAAAAAAAAAAAAAAAAAAGATAAATAAATAAAAGTTAAAGGAACATAAAAATCAACCGGTAACACAAGAGCTTCGCAAATATTTTAAATATTTTAAAACATTAGGCCGGCGTGGTGGCTCATGCCTGTAATCCCAGTGTTTTGGGAGGCCGAGTCGGGTGGATCACCTGAGATCAGGAGTTCCAGACCAGCCTGGCCAACGTGGCGAAACCCTGCGTCTACTAAAAATACAAAAATTAGCCAGGTGTGGTGGTGGGTGCCTGTAATCCCAGCTACTCAGGAGACTGAGGCAAGAGAATTGCTTGAACCCAAGAGACGCAGGTTGCAGTGAGCCGAGATTGAGCCATTGCACTCCAGCCTGGGTGACAAGAGCGAAACTCCGTTTCAAAAAAAAAAAAAAAAAAAAATCAAGGTAAAATTCAATACCTCTTACAAAGAATGACTAAAATTTAATTATACTCATATGTAACAATGATCTAATTCCTCTCAAAATTTTGCAGTGAAACAACAGTGTCTTGTAGGAAGTACTTTTAAATTACCCTTAGGCATTGTAAGCTAAATCTGTGTCCTTAGAAATTTTCTAGCTCTAAAAGAATAAAAATGTTATACTGAGAAATGTTTTTTCTCTAGGTTTTAAAAACTCTTGGTTACCAAATAAATAATAAAGCAAGGAAGTTTACCTTATAAATGCAATTGAGAACAGATTTTTCTGTTTTATCACTTTCTGCTCCCGTAGCATGAAATGGTTGGAGCAGTGTCTTTAGAGGTAAGGCCATGATCCAGTCCAGAAGGCAGAGAAGTAAAGATACTACCAACTGTAACAATAGGATAATTATAATTGCACATACATAAAATATACGCTTCTTAAAAATTCGTTTTCTTATTCTTGAGTTTCCAAAATTTGTTTCTGGAATCATCAACCCTAAGTTCCACTATTAATATTTACCTAGATCTAACTGATTTTAAGATATTGTATATGAACATTATTTTGGGTTTCTCTTTCATATGTCAGGGCAAGCATAATGAAACAGTAAGTATAATAAAAACAGAAATGTTAAAATTAATATAAAAACAGCAAGCTTAAAAGACAACACATATCAATTAACTATACTTACTTCATTGCTCAAGGAATGGAACACAAATGGAAGTCCATATATATTATAATCACTTCCACTTTCCTTTTCTAACTTAACAACATCTCACTGAATATCCTGCCAGTAAGACTACCTTAAGTACTTTTTGAAATTGTTACTCATTTTACTAAATGAATCTACTGAACACGTTTTTTTGTTTTTTTGTTTTTTTAAGAGACGGAGTCTTGCTATATTGCCCAGGCTGGCCTTGAACTCTTGGGCTCAGGCAATGTTCCAGCCTCTGACTTCCAAACAGCTGGGACTACAGGTGCACACCATCATGCCTGGATGGACACTTTTAAACTAATGAATGCTATAAACAGGACACTTTTTATACAAAATGAGGAATAAAATAGCAGAATTCATTGTACTAAAGCATCACAAATAGTATCATGAAACTGACAATGAAATAGCAACAAGAGATCTGCTAATCTTTAAAGACAAACTCTCCAACTCAAGTAATTCTGGTCTACATTTCCTAACATATCTTCCAAAAAAAAAAAATAAATAAAATAGGGAACAATAAGAAGGTCCAAAAAAACCTCACAAAACCAACAGCTTCTGTATTATCAGAAGACAAAGAACATCCAAACTCCAAATTATCTATTTTTTTAATTTTTATTTTTGAGACAGTATTGCTCTGTCACCGAGGCAGGAGTGTAGTGGCGTGATCTCAGCTCACCGCAACCTTCACTTTCTGGGTTCAAGTGATTCTTGTGCCTCAGCCACCTAAGTAACTGGGATTATAGGCATGTGCCACTGTGTCCGGCTAAGTTTTGTATTTTTATGAGAGATGAGGTTTTGCCATGTTGGCCAGGCTGGTCTCAAACTCCCAGCCTAAATTGATCTGTCTGCCTTGGCCTCTCAAAGTGCTCAGATTACAGGCATGAGCCACTGCACTGAGCCTCAAATTATATGAGAAAAATATGAAGCAAATCCCAGCACCTTTCTCCTATTCTCCCATTGCAGGTTTTCATGAAAAGCAAGGGTAGTTTGGGAAAAACTGAAAGAGAGAAGATGGGAACTTGCTGTGAAACTAAGACTGATCTAAAAGCCTGCCAGAAAGAAAAAGTCCACCTTAAGTGTGAGAATATTTAAAAAGTTTACTGGTAGATCAGAGTAGTGAGTAAAAAGAAAGGATGCAGAAATACACACAGGAAAGGTAATGCTTAGGGGGAGAGACAAACAAACCCAGACGCGAAGATTATGATAAATACCTAACTCTTCAATGCCCACACACCGATGAACATCGACAAACATCAAGACCATCCAGGAAAACATGACCTCACCAAAAGAATTAAATAAGGCACCAATGACCAATCCCAGAGACAGAGATGTGACCTTTCTGACAGGGAATTCAAAACAGCTGTTTTGAAGAAGCTCAATGAAAGTCAAGATAACACAGAGAACAAATTCAGCATCCTATCAGATAAATTTAACAAAGAGATTGAAATAATTAAAAAGAACCAAGTAGAAATTCTGGAGCTGAAAAATGCAACTAGTATACTGAAGAATGCATCAGAGTTCTTTAATGGCAAAATGGATCATGCAGAAGAAACAATTAGTGAGGCTGAAGACAAGCTATTTGAAAATACACAGAGGAGACAAAAGAAAAGAGAAGAAAAACAGAATAAAACACACCTATAAGAACTAGAAAAAAAGCATCAAAAGGGTAAATCTAGAGTTACTGGCCTTAAAGAGGAGATAGACTGCGACATAAAGTTTATTAAGAGGGATAAAATCATAGAACTTCCCAAACTCAGAGAAAGATATGAACACTCAAGTACGAGTAGGTTATAGAACACTAAGCAGATTTAATCCAAATATGACTACCTTAAGACATTTAATAATCAAACTCTCAAAGGTCAAGGATAAAAGAAGGATTATAAAAGTAGCAAGACAAAAGAAACAAGTAACATACAATGGAGCTCCAATACATTTGGAAGCAGACTTCTCAGTAGAAATCTTACAGGCCAGGAGAGAATGGCATGACATATTTAAAGTGCTAAAGGGAAAAAAAAAACCTTATTCTAAAATGATACATCTGGTGAAAATATCCTTTGAACATGGAGAAGAAATACAGACTTTCCCAGACAAACAAAAGCTGAGGGATTTCAAACACCAGATCTGTCCCACAAGAAATGCTAAAGGGATTTCTTCAGTCTGAAAGAAAAGAATGTTAATGAGCAGTAAGAAATTATCTGAAGGTCCAAAACCCACTGGTGATAGTAAGTAAACAGAAAACCACAGAATATTATAACGCTGTAATTGTAGTGTGTAAACTACTCATATTGAAGTAGAAAGATGAAAAGATGAACCAAACAAAAATAATAACAACAATTTTTCAAGACATGGACAGCACAATAAGATATAAATAGAAAGAATAAAAAGTTACAAAGCAGGGGGATGAAGTTAACATGTAGAGTTGTTATTTTCTTTTTGCTTGTTTGTTTATGCAGTCAGCGTCAAGTTGTCATTAGTTTAAAATAATGGGTTTAAGATATTACTTGCAAGCCTTATGGTAACCTCCAATATAAACACATACAATGGATACACAAAAAATAAAAAGCAAGAAACAAAACCATACTACCAGAGAAAATCACTTTCACTAAAAGGAAAACAGGAAGGAAGGAAAGAAGGATGACAAGCCTGAAAAACAGCAAGAAAATAAATAACAAAGTGGGAGGAGTAAGTACCTACTTATCAATAATATCACTGAGGCTGGGCATGGTGGTTCACACCTGTAATCCCAACACTCTGGGAGGCTGAGGTAAGGAGTTTGAGACCAGCCTGGCCTGCATGGTGAAATCCTAAGACTATTAAAAAACTAAAAATTAGCCAGGTGTGGTGGTGTGTGCTTATAGTCCCAGCTAGTTGGAAGGCTGAGACAAGAGAATCGTTTGAACCCAGGAGGTAGAGGCTGAAGTGAGCTGAGATTGTGCCACTGCACTCCAGCCGGAGTGACAGAGTGAGACTCCATCTCAAAAAAAAAAAAAAAAAAAAAAGAAAGAAAGAAAAAAGAATAAAAAATAAAAACCACTGAATGTAAATAGACTAAACTCAATCAAAAGAGAGAGTGGCTGAACAGATTAAAAAAATAAAACCCAGTGATCTGTTGCCTACAAGAAACACACTTTGCCCTGTAAAGACACACATATACTGAAAATAAAGGGATGAAGATGTTTTACGCAAATGGAAACCAAAAAAGCAGAAGTAGTTACACTTACATCAGACAAAATAGATTTCAAGACAAAAAAGGTCATTATGTAATAATAAAGGGGTTAACTCAGCAAGAGGATAAAACAATTATAAATATTATATGCACTCAACACTGGAGCACCCTGATATATAAAGCAAATATTATTAGAGCTAAAGAGAGAGATATATGCCAATACAATAATAGCTGAAGACTTAAACACCCCACTTTCAGCATTGGACATTTCATCCAGACAGAAAATCAACAGAGACATTGGACTTAATGTGTAGTATAGACCAAATGGACCTAATAGATATTTACAGAACATTTCATCCAATGGCTGTGGAATGCACATTTTTCTCCTCAGCATATATAACATTCTAAAGGACAGACCACATGTTAGGCCAAAAAATAAGTCTGAATATATTTTTAAAAACTGAAATAATATTAAGTATCTTCTCTGACCCCAATGGAATAAAACTAGAAATCAAAAATAGGAATTTTGGAAACTATACAAACACTTAGAAATTAAACAATATTGGCGGGGTTCAGTGGCTCACACCTGTAATCCCAGCACTTTTGGAGGCTGAGGTGGGTGGATCATGAGGTCAGGAGATTGAGACCATCCTGGCTAACACAGTGAAACCCTGTCTCTACTAAAAATACAAAAAATTAGCTGGATGTGGTGGCAGATGCCTGTAGTCCCAGCTACCTGGGAGGCTGAGGCAGGAGAATGGTGTGAGCTTGGGAGGCGGAGCTTGCAGTGAGTCGAGATTGTGCCACTGTACTCCAGCCTGAGACTCCGTCTCAAAAGAAAAAAAAAAAAAAGAAATTAAACAATATCTTCCTGAATGATCTGTGGGTCAATGAAGAGATTAAGAAAAAAACTGAAAAATATCTGGAAACAAATGATAATGAAAACACAACATATCAAAACCTATAGGATACAGCGAAAGCAGTACTAAGAGGGAAGTTTATAGCTATAAGCACCTACATCAAAAAAGCAGATAAACTTCAAATAAACAACCTAACAATGCATCTTAAAGAACTAGAAAAGCAAGAGCAAACCAAACCCAAAGTAAGCAGAAGAAAAATAATAAAGATCAGAGCAGAAATAAATAAAACTGAAATGGAAAAAATACAAAAGATCAATGAAATGAAAAATTGGGAAATGAAACAAAAATTGATTTTTTAAAAGGATAAACAAAATTGATAAACCTTTAGCCACTAAAAAAAAAAAGAAACAAGACCAAAATAAAATCAGAAATGAAAGAGGAGACATTAAAAACTGATATAGCAGAAATCAGAAGATCAACAGACAGGCTACTATGATCAACTATATGCCAATAAACTGGAAAACCTAGAAGAAATGGATAAACTCCTAGACACATACAACCTATTAAGATTGAACCATGAAGAAATGTAAAACCTGAACAGACCAGTAACATATAACGAGATTAAAGCTATAATAATAAGTCTGTCACCA